GTTGTATTTATCTTTGATATATGTATCTCTGTGTTTTATGCGCAAATGTAAAAAAAAGAAAACAAACATTTATGTCCGTGTGTAAATACGTTGGAAAGATGAATTAAACAAAATCTGATTTTCTGAATAATTAGACCGTCGTTAAATTATTGTACACAGCATTCGCGTTGAATATATTTCCAACAGCCAAGAATAAAGTTTAAATAGCGTGGAAAATCGAGTTTATCATTTTGCAAGGTAATAACGTCCTGAACTAAGCGCTAGACAAATTGAAGAATGAGTATATTAATTACGTCATACTCCATTAGGATTTACCGTAGACGCCGTCGCCACATTTTCGCATTACGAGCGAAGTTCTGTAAAAATAGGGGGACATTAAATTTCCTCCGGCGACGAATTCCGGGTTAACATTCTTGGAACGGTCGGTCTAACGAGCTCCACGATAATAAAAGTGAAAGGCGCGAGCGCGAGTTTCAACCTCGGTCTCGCCGCGCGTGTTTTCCTTGTTGAGAAAGGGGTTGATGAAATTGGCAGGAAGAAAAGAAAGAGGGTAGAGGAACGAAAGAAAGATGCCGGCGCAACGCGTGATATTCCGCTATTTCGGAACGTCCCGTCTTCTCAACATGTTAATTTTATATTTGAGGTGAAGCGATAAATAAGGCGTCGTCGGTAGCTCACCGCTTTTGTCCGTTGAGGGTCTTCATTACCTGCTGTAATATATAACCGTGGCCCTGCGGGGGCATTTCTGATTCGCGAAACGAATTACGAAGTGTCGGATACACGTACTGGGTGATCTGTAGAAACTATACGTTAGATGATTGTTCGCGCGATCATCTGGTCCTCGGCTCGAGCGTTCCTCTTATTACACGTAAAATGTGCACAAGGACGTTACTTTAGCGTGTCGACTTTCGCGAAGTCGCCGCGGCTAATCGCGTCCAGGCATCTCGGTTGTTCATCGTGCCTCGCAGCGTTCTGGATAAGGGTTCGCACGAAAAGAAAGCGAAATCGCATGTGATCTCGGACACATCGGTTTTGAAGGTGGTCCTGCGCATATACAGGGTGTCTCAAATTCTTCACGCTCACTTTTACCTACGAGCTCTTTAATTAATTTAGACAAAATTTTCTCTCAGCAGAAATTTTAAGACTGCTGTTTGCATTTTTAAATTGAAAACGAATAAGAAAAATCTACCAATTTTTATGATACGTGGTCAAAATAAGGATGAAAATTGATAACGATATTTTACTCTTTCTTATATTTATAAGATAAATTTTTAACAGAATGTTAATTTAAGATATATTTGCAGAAATATCCAATGGCAAAAAGGGCACCAAATTAAATTTTCCCTGACAAAAGTATGACTTAATCAAAAGAATTCTGCTTAATTAAAGCTAGCTTAATGGAACATCTTAACATAGCTCAATTTTACATTCAAATTTAATTTTTGTAAAGAAAAGTACTGATCTCAAAGCGTTAATTAAAAAATTCATACGTGAACATTCTTGAAACATACTATATATCGATTGGCCTTCAGATCTCGAGGTGCGAACCGGTTTCCTTGGCTCGATTTTCGACACAAGCTCCGAATCTCCTTCAACCCCCTCGATCTGTTCTGGTGGGGTTCTTGCGCATCATTTTTGTCTCCCTTGTTGGAGCGAGCGAGGCTTTATTCAAGACACGCTGTGGTGGATAGTGATGGTACGCCTTCCCAGTGTCAGATTTTATTTATCTCATGGTGACTTTTTGTTTCGTGCTAAATACTCCAGCATTTAAGAAGACGGTCTTCCCCGATTTATGGCCGCCGTCGCTGCCTCTAGTTCTGCTTCTTGCTCCTCTTCGTCTTTCTTAAATCCACTCGTGTGTTTTGCGTGGATTCTTCGAGGATACTCGTCTCACGCTTTATTCGTCGTCATCAGTATCTCGTTTACTTTGAAAAATATATCAATCGTAAATTTAAGAATGTATGCGCCTCAACTCAAAGCAATACAAAAACATAAAAATTTTCTAAATTGTTCTATTATTACGTCTGACAATGAGTATCCGTGCAAAATTTGAGCATATTACTTTAATAATTCCTTATTACTTTACAAGCTATTTAATTTTTTTTGCCTTGATTCTGCGTGTGTGAAGTTGGCACCTCATCTTTTGGCACCGCAAGTTTTAATAAGAGTTCTTGATTCTTATGTAAAATCGTTTTTTGTAAGACTCATTTGCAAATTTGGAATGAGGAAATTATTAATTAAATGAAATTTTTTATATAACAAAAAAAACTAATAAATATATTTGTCTAAAATTATTTGGCTCAATTTACTCGTTTAAAAGTTTATCGGAAACTGGAAAAAATATGGTAATAGTTGTATGAACCATTAAAAGTCAAATTATAATTTGTTTGTTTTTTGCAGTTTCAGAATATATTTATAACAAAATTTTTTGACAGCTGGTATTAACTATTTGACTTGATTTTTTGACTAATTACTTTTAGCTGATATTGTACAAGACATCTTTAAAAAAACAACATTAAAGTTATATTAAAATAAAAATTTGAATATGTAATAAAATTGTTGTGCAGATTTATATTTAACTAAATTTGTAGATACTTTAATAAAGCTATTCTTTCTGTGTGATTTTTATATTTTAGTAAAATTTTATTCCATTCTGTTCCAGATAAATGTGGAAGCGGTGACCTCGACCGATTACGATTCCACGAATCTCAGCAGGAATTTTAATCAGTTCGGTTTCAACACCTATAATTACTCGCAATTTGAAGAGAAATACAAGCCGCGGCAAATTTTTAAATATGGCGACGAGTACCTCGAATACGGACACAAGCTCGGCGCTAACGAGAGATTCGCGCGAACGAAGTACCAGGACGGTTTAAGATTCGATCAACGGTACTCACGCAGCCATTCTCAGCCGGAACAGCATCATCACTTGTCTCAAGAGACGCGCTCGAAGTCCCAGGATTCCCGCGAGCTCACGTTCTATCAGATAGACCCGCCTGTGAAATTGGAAAATCCACGGCAACATGACAAGTCGCATCAGAAGCTAAAGAAGGAGTTGACCTTTTACGGGATCGATGGACTCCCATCCGGTCAGGAGAGGAGGGATAAGTCTGAGATGTGCAAGGAGCGTATCGATAAGAGTATCAAGTCCCACGACAAGTCCCACGCCGATGGTCAAGAGAGATCGCAGATCGCAAAGCACGGCAAACAGAGTCATCAGGAGCAGCAGAAGATGTTGATGAACGCGCTAACGTCGGACTACCACCAGCTGAACCGGTCGCAGTCGGATCTCACGGAGTGTCAACTGCCGAATTACTGCGGGCACCGGAATAATCCGTATATCGATCCGCCCAAGTATCGACAGTTTGACAGGCCGCCACGCTATCAGGAGACTCCGCTGAAATCAGAACCGCCACCCAAGTATCACGTCGATCCGCCTAAGTACGCCGAGGTGTCCAGACGGCAGGATGACTTTAAGAGGATCCAGGTAAGCTGTAACGTATAGGAAATTCTCAGTTCCTCTGTAAAAGTATAGGTTACTCCGAAACCTCTTTCTTTTACTGATCGATTATAAATAATATTATGAAAATTGAAATAATAATAAAATAATTATATAAAATTTTGTACGATATTTTTATTATGAAATTGTTTGACGAATTTAAATTATACTGTTAGATTTCAAACTCTGAATGATGGTGCGATCGAGAGCGTGTTACTTTGAAAATAACAATAAGCAATTCAACCACAGAAATGATTTGATTTACATTTTAACACACATGTAAATTAAAAATAACAAAATGTTACTTAACTCAAGAAATTGAGTTATTGCTCCTTTAATTAATATCTAGTGGGGCTACTTGATATTTAACAGTGCTTGATGAAGTAAATTATACTGTTAGTATAATTTATGTTAAACTCTGTTTACATCAAGTAATATATGTTAGATATCAATTAAAGAAACAATGATAACTCAATCCCATGATAACAGCATTTTATTACCTCCATTTGTGTATCAAAATTGTAAATCAATCCTATTTTTATTAGTTTCAAAGTAAACAATCACATCAACATATACACTTGTTAAATAATAAATTAAATTTGAATAAAATTTAATACATCTCTCAGTTAAATTGTATAACTCTATTGTTTTAGTTAAATTAACAACATATTGAGTAGGTACAATGGCGACTTATATAGAATTAATAATAATTAAAGATAATTCAAATATTGAGTATAATTTGACACTACAAACTTAACAGTGTAATGCAGAGACTAACAACGCAAAGTAAATTTTAATGTAAATTACGAATAACTGTTTTCTTATAAATAAATTCAATTTTTCTCGAAAAGTTGACTTGGAAGAAACTGTTAACCGTTCTCGATCGCGCTCTACCATTAATACTCCGTTTTTTGACTGGCTCATGTGGCGACGGTCGCGAGTTAGGAACGTGCATGAATCGTAGTACTACGCGTCGACTATACTATGTCGCGTTATCATTTGGCAGGAGGAGAGAGGCAAACGACAAGGTGGCGGTGGCGGTGGCGGGGGCGGTGGCGGTGGCGGTGGCGGAGGCGGTAATTCCAACGCAGGAAGGGGGAACACCGGCACTCATGGCGCCGAGACGCCCTCTAATCTGGCCAGTATCACGCCGACCGCGCGAGAAGTAACACGTGCTGTGGTTGGACGACAACGTTTCTCTCATAAGACGTGTGACGTGCGCAGCAATAACAATAACAATAACAATAATAACAACAATAGCAAGGAGAACCTGTTGCAAGAAACCAGAATTGACAGCGATTCCCGGTGTCACATCGAATCTATAAAGGGTCATCATCATCATCATCATCATCATCATCACCATCATCATCAGCAACACTATCAGACTCGTGGAATAGATGGTAGCAACGTTGTTGCTAGCGGGATCGTTGGTAATGTCTTCCCAGACGATGGTGGCGGTGGCTCGTACGGCGAGGTAACAACGTGCGACAAGTACAAGGGTACCGGGTCGGAGTCGAATCGGGGCGGTAACAGCGACGCGGTTCAAGGTCGCCCAAGCGAGAGATCCATGCTGAAGATTGAGAAGATATCAGGAAAGACCGTTCTGCACGGCGGCAGTGAGTCAACGGTCGGCAAGTGCGGCGCGGAGAGAATGAAGTCGACCACGCAGGAGGTCAGCAAGGCCAAGGGTCACGATGTCGGACACGGTTACAAAGTCGAGAATCTGCGTTACTACGGTGAACTAAAGGGCTACGCCGATTTCAAGGCTTACGGTACCGTGGACAAGCAGCCGGCATCTGTACCGGTGTCTGCGCACGAGAAGTCGCATCTTCTACATGGGTCCACCTCGTGCGAGAAGGGCGACAAGTGTCACGGCAAGGCGCCGTCCTCGTCCACGCAGAGTTGTTATAGCCTGGCCAAGATCGGTCAGCAGCAGGCGGAGAAGAGTCATCACAGTGGCGATCATTATTATCACAGATCGTCACATTCAAAGTCGCCGAACATGTATCAGGTGTATCAGGAGACCAAGTACTCGTACAATGTGAGCGGGGTGCCCGGGACGCCGGCGCAGGCCAGCGCAGCCGCGGCCTTCTTCGCAAGGTCAGTGTTCACTCAATCTAACGAATATACGATAGCGCGTCACGATAGCATGCCACAACGCACCTGCTGATGTGAGTGTCCCAGTTACTTTTGGTTCTTCCTGTATCGCGAACTTCGATGTGTTTTGCATCGTCAAAATATGGATTTAAGAGAAAATCACACGAAGAGAATTACGTTCACGTTGAAATCTTTTTATTTAACTTTATATCGCTCTTCGATATTTCGAGAATTTTATTCACGAAAGCTCAGAAGTGAATCACATTAGCTGCAAATGTAATTTCGAAGCTTTAGTCTTCATAACTTTTGTATTCTGTTCTAAATTGTTGTAAGTATCCATTAATTTTATATAATCTATTACATTTTTTCTTTTCTCTCATCCTAGAATGCTATCGTTAAGTGATAGATGTATTGCTATGAATATGTAAATTTTACGTACAAAGAAATAGGTCACACTTATAATTAATATAACATAGTTCTTCATGTATTTTAGACTTTTAATATGACAAAAAATATTTATAATTTAGATTATTTTAAATAATTTAATCAATAATTAATAACTTAAAAGAAAAGAGAGAATGAACACATTACTAATCTTTAATCTTGATGTGGAGTATGTAATCTAATTTTGTGTCTCCTTACACTTAAATAAATGTATGTTAACACAAAATTATTTAAAAATTAAAATTATTTATCACATTTTCTGTTATATTACTAACCCAGCAGGTCCTGAGAGAGATAACAGATAGAATTTTTAAAAACTTGTTTTTGTTTGTCCTAGCTTTTAAAATGATAGATTGGGTCTCCTAGTGATAACTGAAAGCATAGCGCTCAATGTGATCTAGTTCACTTGTTAACAAAATTTACATATCGATAACATTTTAGGATTAATTTCGATGATTTCATTTACGAAAATTTAAAAATGAATTATATATGATTTTGAAATTTAGCCTTCTTGATTTTTTATTTCTGTTCTGAGATTCTTATATCAAGCATTCATTTAATTTTAATCTATTGTATTTTCTTGAAATTTTTCAAAATATTGACGAACATTATCTTTTAAATAAAAATAAGAAGATAATATTGCGTGAACATCTAGTGGAAATTTTAAAAGCTTTTAGAACGCAAATCCTGAACATTTAGCTGAATATTCCTTTCTCGATCAATTCCGCTTGTTTTTAAAGATTATCTTAACATGTCCACATAACGACGTGTATCAACGATTGATGGTTAATAAATAAGAATGATAAGATGGCAATTTTATACTGAAGCGGTTCGAACATGCGAAAGTTTATTGCGATCATTATATGATTTTTGTTCGTTCGGAGAAATTTATATTCTCGTCGTATGTCGCGCGCGAAGCGATCAATTTACGCGACTATAACCGCATGCACAGATCTTGTATTCCGTTAGCGTGTATCTATGCGTTTAAAAAGTCGAGACATTTTTCATCGTTATCAGGTCTGCTTCTTGGAGCGTGAACGCTCCAATCGAAGCATTGCTCGCGATACGCTAGCAAAAGCATTATTTATTGCACGAATCGATAGCCTGTTTACTCGAGAAATTTGCAAGCTCTAAGCTAGCTCCAATCGAGGACATTCAAACCTAACATTAATTGACAAAAATTGCAACGCATACGCACCAGTAAACAACAGGGCAAAATTCGAAACGCGTGCAAAAGCTTCCTCACAACTTGTATTTTCCTCGTGAAAACACCACATCAAACAAGCAACAAATATAAGCATTCTATTGTCCCCCACGTAGCCTTCTTATTCATTTTAAGCACGCCCCTTCGTGTTTTAACGTAGATAATCATGATTTTGCGAGCGCAGCCGGCTGTAGAATGACATTCATTTTCAAACCTCGTCGTCTCTTCGTCCCTTGAGTAGGTGCGAAAACCTTGATTCTTCTGACTTGTTGGTCTTATAAAGCGCATTTTCATCGCATCAAACCATCCCTGTAGAGCATGCGTACGGGACCATCCTTCTTGGTTAGGCTCGGGTCTCGAGCTTTGATCTCAGCTCGCATATTTTCAACGTCCCCGTATAAAAGCGTACACACAGCTTGCGTGCAGGAGCGTAGAGTACAAGCACGAGCAAGCATAGATCGCATGTGGTTTGTGTGCGAGGAGAAAGCTCTCTCTTTCTAAAGGCTCCGCGGCCACAGCCGTCTTTTCCCCTTAACCTTAGGCGCGACCTCAGCCCTTTAATAACCTTGCTCATAGCTCGTGGATATTGTAAAGCACAATGGCATTCTTGGGGAGGTTCGCTTGCTCGTGCATCCCGTCTTCACCTTTCCTTCCCTCTTTCCCTTTCGTTCTCGTTCGCTCATAGTTCCTATGTGTATGCGTATAAAGCGCGCAAGTACATGTGAGTTATTAGCGGCAGCTAATTACGAACTACTCTTAATAACGATGTGCGTCGAGAATCGAAAGTTTTCTGGACAAGGTAGTGGGGGAGAGAACGCTCGAGGGAGGTCTCGTCGGTTAGCGTTGGACTTCGGAACGCCAGCAAATTATTCAAAGCGAATGGGACTGCTATTATCCGGATGCTCGGATCTATCCATGCATATAATAAGCCCGGGCTTTCACCGAGCGCAACCGTGGCGGCTTTAGGCTTATGCGAGTTTTAATAGCATTTCGAGCAGAGCGATGACGCTGGCTAATCATCGGGATATTCGACAGGGATGCAAGTAGCACGGTCAAATTAAACATGTGGTATATAGATCTGCCCTTTTATCTTGGCTTAACATCTCGCGCTCCCAATTATTCATATATCAAAAATGAACATTGCACTTACTGTATTTTCCCCCTTTGATACAGCTAGTAATCAACTTTTGATATTTATTGAAATATTTTTTATTTGTTATAAAAATATTTTCCGCTCTTTTACAATAAATTGTTCAATATTTTACAATAAATTGTTCACCAAATTGTTAAATAAGAAATTAAAAAGAAACACATATTTTTGTGCTGAAGAAACATATGGATTCTTGGGTCTCACTATAAAATTTTTTATTATTAGTTTTATTTTCTTTAAGAATTTTTTTAAGCTTAATTAAGTATATTCTTAATTAATGGTATAAGGTTGCTTGAAAAACACAAATAAAATGTTGCTGATAGAATTTATTGCTTCTAAACCTCGTTAGATATAAGCATGTTTTCAGAGTGTTGTAAATATTCAGGATATATTTTAATTCGAACATTTCCTAAACATTTGCACATATATTACATAACAATTACATTGTTAAATGTGAATACATTGTTATTATGTTATTTTTAGTTGATGTTTACTAGAACTTTTACTTTTCTATGTCAGCTACATCATAAATAATGTGGTTACGATGCGTAATGATGTACAGCGTGTACCATTACACGTCAGTTAGCCGACTCATCATTAACGTATAATAGGATATAGCAGGCGCTTGAGCGATCGTGCTTCGTGTTCCAATGATATCAATGCGCTCGTGCCGAGACAGTGGCGCCTGCTCTGCGCATACTGTCTGTTTAGTACCTTCTTCCTTTTGCTCTTTAACGATTCCTTAGAACGGACAGCTACTGTTTCGTAAGAAGTTGACAAGAATTGAAATTAATCGCGTTCCATGCGCGCATCAATGATCGTTTTTACTTCCTTTTAATTAACAAAATTATTTTTATTTATTAATCTAATATAATTCAAGCTCTCTTATTATTATTATTATTATTATTATTAGCTCTCTTATTATTATTATTATTATTAATATTAATCACTATTAATTTAATTTCTGGACATATTAAATGTTAAAATACAAAAACTTAACTTGCTAAAGCAAAATAATTTTTTTTTCACAACTAGCAACGATCATAGATATTTTCTTATAAATATTAGCAAGATGACTGCTTTAATTAAGAATTATATATTTATGGATATGAAAAAGACAAATTTTAGAATTAATATATATATTTTTCAAGACATTTTTCAATTTTTTATCACTTTCAAATTTTTTAAATAAAAATTTAATACAAATTTTTTAATATAAAAAGTTAGTCCAGAATTGTGATACCAATGTGAAAATAAGAGAACGTTCGGGATGTTCCGTCAAATCAACGAACGTTTGTAAAATTGCTAAACTCGCTAAACTCATATACTTTACGAGTACTCGATGTCTTTAAAATGATCAATCACTTCGTTTGAACTATTTTCTCGCTTTCCAGATCGGATGTAAATTTTTGTTTTGTAAGCAAACGTGGTGCAAAGTTGCTAAGAGTGGCTGCGCCTTTTTCTCCAAATTTCCTCGCAGTCGAACTCCGATAGAGGTCGATTTCCCGATGGGCTCCGCTGTAGCCCCTCGTAAAGTTGAAATTTCAAAACTTTCACATTGGCGCTACCTATACGAAGCACGGACACATGGCAAATAAAATTGATCTAGGCTGCACGTTCCTCGGTACCGACGGAGAGGAGAAAGAAGGAGTATCGGGCGAAGAAGAGAAGTGAAGAACACGAGAGGATAAGGTGAAACTGAAGGCGGTGGGCCAAGTCTGCCAGTATTGTTGGTCGTCGTGATTTTATTGCCCCTTATATTGCCTCCGCGAACTCTCCTTCTCCTTCTTCTCTTGCACCCCACGTTCATTTTCCTCTCCTCATCTTACTTTAAGTCCGTCGCTGTCTCTCACTTCCGATCTCACGCCCGCGCCCCCGGGATCGCGAAAGCGATTTTTACGAGGCAGCTCGTCTCGCGTCTCCCGAGATGCAACCTGCCCGCCATTCCTGAAAATTGCAATCTCAGGGCTCGCGATATAGTTGGAATTGCTGGTCGTAATCGAGAAACGGGAAATGATATCGGGCTGAGATGTGGATCCGATCGCAACAGTAATTCAGAAATATCTAAGCGTTAAAAACGCGTCTTAAGGTGACTACACGGTTAATAATACTGATCAGTAATACTGAATCAGTAATACTGACAGTATGCATCAATATTTTCAGTATTTTTACAATTTTACATGGTCAGTACTATTGACAATATAT